CAAAAGAACCAGACTTTATAGGCAAACATACTCGAGTTAGATTAAACCAGGTACCAAGACATCAACAGTAACAAACTGCAAAAACTCTGAGGCTCCCAAACAAAACAATTTCATTTACAGGACTGCTACCCTTTCAGGTACTGTCTGTGAACATCACAAATGAAATTACCGTCTAAGGAAAGCAGGGGGAATCCTTATCCATGCTACAAAGAAGCTCAACTTTACTTGAATTCACCAGTGTTAGCAGAAACTCCAACTAATTCAAGTGACTAATTTACCAGCAATACCCACCACAGATTGTTAATGGGACATGTTATGTGCCTTCTCTGGATTCACAAATCTCAAATGGGCAAATGGACAAACTCATTTGATTTCCTCACCAAACCAAACTGAGGATCTGTTCCTCTGTTTTATAACCAAAACAAAATCCACATTTCTGCTCTTTAACCCAAAGCTGGACAACTGAATGGAGACTTCGTTCTGACACTATCGACTTTTTCTGGAGACTGAAGTATAAACCCTGGTCAGTTGAAGGGCACTCTCCAAACTCCTCTAGAAACCAAAAGCCTGGTCTGCCACTCCACTAGTGTCGTCTCTGGCAGTTCAAAGTGATTTACATGATAAGATCATAATACAGTAATCAGTGAAACCAGTAATTTACATTACATTTTGTCAAATGCAATCATCAAAATCATCAAGAATAAGAATCATCAAATAAATCAGATATAGTGATCAATCTTCCATTACAAAATTAATCAAAGCAACTTCAAAGCTTTCAGAGTCTCTGAGCAGAAGTCACTCATTCCTTGCAGTCTGGCACTGAGGAGCCTTTTAAGCATATTGGCAAACTCTACCACATAGTCATTAGACTCAAAGGTGTTGGAACTTTGGGTTTAATTTATGTTCACCTTTCGATCATTTCTATGTTGTTTATCTGTTTAGGTCTTGCCATTTATTTATTTTATTTCATTAAATTACTGTTTCTTTCTGTTTATTATTTAAGTTACTTTCAGACTGTTTATAATAGTTTTCCTCCTTTCCTCTTTATCACTTCCACCTCTTCTGGTTTGCATTGTTCTCCTCTGGCTCTTACGTCATACCACTCTCTAAAATATTACTGCTTGTCTCCCGGTTCTTCCAGCAGGAGTGGAAGAACTTAAAACTTAAAACGTCTTGCTCTCCACAAAAGTTGTATATGTTCTCTACAAAACTCATGATGACATACTCAAAGTTTCGCTGAAGCAAACGATGACAGATTTAAGTATATTCAAAAAGCATGTTTGCGCCACATGAAAATACTCTGAGTCTGGACTAAAGGTGCAGGTGCTCTGAGAACTTACTTCAGGAGACTGACATTCTGCCACCAATGCTTGCTTGAATTCCTCCCAGACCTCTAGGTTTTCTGGCCACCAGCTGCTTTAGGAGCACTCAAAGTAAGCCCTCTGTATTTTTAAAGCATGGACATACAAGCAGGATCGGTGAAATCTCTTGGAAATAATGACAGAGACAGACGGAGTTGGTGTTCAAACCGGCAACTCACCGGTTACAGTACAGGCTCCTAACTGCCACAGTCACTTCCCAATTAAAAAACATCAAGCTCTACACATTTGGAGTGTGTACTTTTTTCACCATGATTATCAAAGCATTGATTTGGAAACTTTTTGTTGATGTTAAATTTCAAAGTACTCACTGCATCTAACATCAGGAACACACTCAGGTAAGCAAATCCAATCTTTTGCAAACCGCAAAGAGAATACATTTTTCAGCATTCAAAGAACAAACATTGCAATGGCTCCTCATTCATGTCGGTGTGTGCTGTCTATCACATTTTAAAACAAGGTGTTATTCATCATCACCTGTTAAAGTTCTGTGGGATTACCATGAAAGCTTCTCTTGTTTTTAAGGATCGAGCAGTTCTCATAACATTTGTTGAAACATCCCCTTTTCCAGACAGGAATATGAGCCTTCGAAAGATCGAGACACCAAGGAAATCCTCTCGCAAGAAAAGAAAGAGATTCTGTTGGGAATACATGATTAGTGTCTCCATAAGCCATGTACTCAGCAGAGCCACTGAGGTAACCTATTTAGAATCAGCAAAAATTTGTAGTTTGATGACATCTGCTCAGATCAGGAGTGTTGACAGTCCTCATGGACTCCAATTTAAAAAATTGCTCCAGGCCAACACTGTGACATTTACATTTGTTTAGTTATTTTGCTAAAGTCACATCATATTTCTTTGTGTATCTTGCTTTAAATAGAATATCACTGAACAAACATTCAGTTTCTTAGGAGACTTCTTGATGTTCTTGTGAATCAATTGTTTAATAAGCCCAAAGTTAAAAATCAATTCAGACAATTGAGGCTTGATTAAAAAAAAATAATAATCATGCATCCTTTTCTGGAAATGTACTCATCAAAAGAAGATGGTGAAGGGGATTATAACCATAAGTATTTCTTCTGGAAAATCACACAAGGGAATTGTTATGGTATTAATGTAACAATAGGACCAGCTACCAAATCAAGAATATAACTGGAAAGCTGTATAGAAGACCAGAAATTAAAGCTCAGTATTAGTTCACTTTGTTTTCAGTTACAGCTAAAAATGACAAATCATGAAATGTGGGATTTTGAAAGAGTTGTACCTGACCAATTATCAGGAAAATATGTTTATGTAGAAACCATTCTTCTGATCACTACAGTTGTACTCTAAGCATTCACCTTCTAAATATTCAGAAACAACCAATCATGCACAGTGTCTTGAAACAATATTTGCCCACTTGCAGATTTTACTTGTTTTTAACAGTTAAAATATTTCAGGTCCTCAAATACATACATCTTGTAAGACAAAAATAAGATGTGTACAGTGGCCCTCCGGTGTGGCTGGGCCATAAATGCATCTTATTGATTAATCAAAATTGCTGTCATTAAAAATAACAATTTTGGGAAATATGATTTTTTTTCTATGCCAATGAACTCAGTATAAATAGGTAGATATTCTGAGAATAACTCTTGAGTTACATTCCACAGAAAAATCAGTGGATGGGTGAGAGCACAAAATTGAACTGCAAACAGGCGGGCTTCATTGTGAATGAAAAATGTAATTTTCAAATGATTTCAGGTATCCAAACCAATGTGGCCTTATGAAAAATTATAATGACCCTTTTGTTAAAGAATGAATTAAGAGTGAGCAATACAGATGGGATTCTTTAGGCACTTTATGACTTGATTCATTTACAATTCAGATGTAGAAGATGAAATTATAAATCAAATGTTGAACATAAAATAGTTTCACCCTTGAGTCACACAGAACCTCCACCAACCCTCCGTCTTCGTAACAAAAACCTTCTGTTATAGTTCATTGATATTTGCACCTGTGTGCTTCTCATTCACAGCTCCATGTGGGATTCACAACATAGCTGCCACACATCAGAAGACAAACGTGAGTCAAGAATCCATGGCAATGGTTGAGAACTATCCCACATGCTCCTAGTGATTCTGGCACTTTGTTTCCATCTTGTAGGATGAGGTCACTGTGTCCTAAGGGCTCAACTGGGTGAAAAACCAACTCTTCAACTGCTGATGGTTGCAATCCAGATACTTAAAAAAAATATGCTCTGAACTTTGTGTAATATGGTTTTTCTCTTATTCATCACAAAGTGAAGGTTTCAAAGTGGCCTAATCAAAGTCAGGACTCAAATCCAACTGAAATTGTGTGGCAATACATTAAACATGATGTCCATGTTCAAAGCGCGTCCTATGTGGCTAAAATAAACTGTGCAAAGAAGTAAGAGAAATGACTCACTGCCAGTTTTTACAGATGATTGATGGTGGCGAGAAAAACCAGTTGATTTGTTTTGTTATGGGCTTTTTGTTTGTTTTGTTTAATTTACTTTAAGTCAGTTTGGATAACGTATTCTTCTCCTAAAAAATGAATACATTATTATAAAACTTGTCTGTATTTTGTCAGGTCACTTACATTTAAATATCACACTAAACCCTGTTTCACTGTCAGGCATTTGAACTTTGTTTTTCAGTAAGGAACTTGATATTTTACTAAAAAGGATGAATGATTTGTTTTCATTTTAGAAAACTGTATGAAATATTGCTATTTTAATGGCCATAAAATGCTGGGCATGTTTCTAACCCAGACTAAGTTTGGTTAGGCCAAAACATATGTAATTTATTAAGTACTTATCAAGGAGAAAGCAGCTGATTAATTAGTCAGGCTATCTGCTTGAGTTCAGTCGTCAGTCAGCTGCTAGACAGATATGGAGCTCATAGCTCACCAACTGTGCAAAGGGTGTTACATTAATAAGAGTAACACACACAATGGCTGTGTTTTACACACCTGGAAATATCTGCAAACATCTGAATGTGAAAGTTTTTTGAGTGGGAAATATGATATGTAGGAACCTTATATCAGCCAGCATATCTCAATGTATTTCTGGCAAAACATGCACTTTTTTCGTTGTTTTGTTGTCTTATGGTAAATTTGTCTCTGACTTTCCAACTGTGCTCCAGAATGTCCCAGCTGTGCTGTGGTCAGTATCAGATCAGAGTGCTGCACGTCTGCTGACAGTTTTCTAGGAGATCTGGACACAGTTGAAAGGACAATTCTCCAGGACTCCAAAGTTTTAAAGAGATGATTCCATCTGCAGGTGTAGCATATTAGTGTTATGACTTTGATATCCGGTTCATCTGTTTTCATTTTAGTGTATTATTATATTCATTTGTTATTGTTTTGTTTTACTTGTAAAGTGTCCTGCACAAACATAAACAAAACGCATTATTATTATTATTATTATAATTAGTATCCTATACTAGCTAGATTTAAGAACATGTGTTAAAGCTCAGTAAACAAATAAACTACAAAGTGCATCAGGATGTGGTTATTATTGAAATGGATTATGAAAAACGTTTTTTGTGTTACATTTATGCATTTTGTTTGCAATGTGACAGATTAAAAGCTTCCGCTGAGCGTCTGACAAACTGCTGGTTACCTTCTGGTTGATAATGGAGCACGCCACTTCCCGGACCTGACTGAGGTTGAGCTCCGCGGCGTCTAGCAGCACCGGCTCCCGGCTCATTCCTATCTGGATCTGGAAGGAGATCACACCGCCTCCCCCTTCCCCACCTCCTCCCTCGGTGTTGGGGCTGCTCGTCCCTCCCAAAAACGGCAGCGGGCTGGGCGCCCGGATCAACGGAGGAGCACTCATTGAAGCCTTCTCCTCTGTGGTTCCCAACTTTGCCAAGAAACAATTAGAAGTCACGGCGGTGACAGATAATCGCCCGGTGCTCAACAGGGAGAAAGAGAGGAAGGAGCCAAGGGAGCAACCAGAGAGGAGATTTAAAGGGTGGAAAATCGCGGGATGCTCTGACGCACGGAACACCCCAAAGCGTCAGAAAAGCGCAAAAAGAGTTTCAGACAAAACACTAATTCATCAACTACAGGAAATCTCTAAGTAGCCCAGGCTAAAAACGCACAGACACGGCACGAGGACACAGAGAACGGATGTGAACGGAACAGGAGTAGTGACTACATGACTGGACCAGAGAGCTGCCTGGAAACCGGTGAGGCGGGTGACAGAGTCATAGACGTCAATACTGGATGGAGACGAGGAGGAGGAGGGAGATGAAGAGGAGGAAAGGGAACCTCCTGTGCTGATATGGACTGAGATATTCATTTTTAAGTACCATTGTTTTGGCTTAGAAATGTGAAGTTCCATTTACTGGAAGAAGAAAATCTCGAAAATCAAGAACCACCTCTGACAACCAGTTTACTTCTAATCCTAAACATTATTTGGTTTTAACACAAACCTAAACGTGCAAGTTATGCATTTTTGCATTAAAGGAGATCTTGGCTGTGTGTAATATTTATGTATTTTATTGATGGTTCAGCACATCTCATTCAAATGGTTGAAGTATCTCCTCAGTGAGGTCAAGTTCTCCAGAGTCCCACTAATGACCTGATTATTTCACTCAGGTGTGTTGAATCAGAGACATCTAAAAGCTGCCTGGTTTTGAGGATCACTGCTCTAAAGCATTTGATTGTGTGAATCATCAAAAGCTTTTCTACAAGCAGTTCCCAAGTATCTAATCAGAATCCTTGTTTATTGCTAATGGCATCAGTAAATACATGTGAAATCTGGTAATGCTACGTCTGATCCATTTAATGTTGGGATTGGAGTCAGGCCAGGGAAGTATATCAGCCCATTATCTTTTTAACATGTATGACATTTCAAATGTGACAACATAATCAGTCACCTAATGTATGCAGATGACTTCATAGTTATGTGTCCATATTTTTATTTTATAACGGAACTCTATTTTTTTTACAACGTTTTGCAATTACTACACAGTATTTTTTATTTTATTTTATTCTTTTTCAGTTTTTACATATTTTATGTTTCTATCTTTCTGTGAGTCTACTGGCTTTGATTCCCTGTGACTTTGCTGCTGTTGCACTGGAATTGGGACAATAAAGGAATTTCTATTTTTATAATTGTCTCCCAGTCTTCCCAGTTTTACTGGCTGTTTGCCACATTACCACAATGTGCAGAATTTGCACTTTTCTAAAGGAAAAAGAACACACCTTTGTTCCTAAGGATTAAATACTGTAACGATTCTGTGTTTTGGTTCTGCTGCCCATATGAGCATATGGTTATGTGTATTTGTTGTATCTTACATTGTGATCTTTATTGTTGTGTGTATAAAGTTATGGCCTTCCCCTGTCTGGCTCTGCTGACTCCCGCTCACATGTGATAGATCTGTCATGTGGGCAGGGGATCAGGGGAGCAGCAGGACAGGACCGGAGGAGGAAGGAGTTCGAGGGGGGTGTTAGCAGGAAGCTAGTTGGGGGAGCGCAACGGTTTGTTGGAGTTGTGAGCTGTGGCCTTGGATATAGCGATTCGTTCTGATTACTAATAAACCCGTTTGGCGGGACTACATCTGTGGTGTGCTGCGTCATTACAATACCTTAAACTGATCATGTTACATGGTGTCATTTTGGTGTTAGGAAGCACTTGGTTCTTCCTTAACTATTTTATAGTGTCTTTTAAATGTTGTAGTTTAAATTTTAAACAGTACTTTATACGCTAAGGTTTTAGTGGAATGTTTTGTTGTATTTGAGTCAGTCAGGCCAAATCTTACGATGAGAATGTCTCCTCTGTTGCAGTTATCTCCTCAAATGCAGCTCTATTACAGGACGAGGGCAGGTAAGAGCAGGAGCTAGATTGGCTGGCAATGTGTAATAATTCCAAGTAGGTAAGAGAAGTATAAAATGATTTATAAAATTTGTATGTGTATTGATAACATACATCTGAAAAAATTGTAATATTGTGCAATAAGTGCAATATTTCTTGCCAGTCATCTCAGAAAGTTAGACAGTCATATGACATTTTCTTCCATTTTTAGAAGTTTGTAACGTACCACAAACCTTTAAACATTTTCATTAGAATTGTGTGTAATTAACTAACACAAAGTAGAAGTGACAAGTGGACATGTAGTTTTAAACAGCTTTCATGAATTGAAATCTAAAAAGTGTGGCCTGCATGTATTTTGGAACCCATGTCTTAATATAGTTTTTTTTTTTTTTCCTTAACCAAGACTGCCATGGATTCACTTCAAGCCATTTATCATAAACTTTAAACCATCTTTTCCATCTCCGTTAAAGAGAAGCATTCCCAAACCATGATGCTCCCATCACCATGTGTCACCATGTTGACTGGTATTTTCAGGGCAACCTGTAATTATCTGCTGGACAAATAATTACAGGTACCAAGCTAACTTTGAGGTGTTTGGGGTCTTGCATATTTGGAGCAGTTTGTAGTCATGGTACCTTGGCTCTTCTGGTCAGATGAAATCCCCCCTGCAAAAAGTTGTCATGATTTGTGGTTGATTGGGGTGAGGAAGAACACTGAGACCCAGGATGAAGAAGACAAAGATGAAGGTTTAATGTTGAAACAGTCCAGATGCAAGCAGCTCAGGGGAAACAGACAGGCAATGTGACACTAGGGAGACTAACACTTGACGAGGATCCGACAAGAGACAAAGACAACAGGTGGACTTAAATACACAGGGAG